ATTGACTGGTTCAATTCCTCCGGTTCTCACTTTGCTGGATAGGATGAAAACATTTAGTGTGTCTAATAATCTCTTGTCTGGCCCAATTCCATCTTTTAATGCTTCATTAACAGCAGAGAATTTTGCACATAATCCTGGACTGTGTGGGAAGCCTTTGGATCCTTGTCAGTCGACTTCAGGAGGCCCTAAAACTGGAATTATTGCTGGGGCAGCTGTTGGTAGGGTGACAGTTGCGGCGATAGGTGTGGCTATTGGTATGTTCTTCTATTACTGTAGAATTGCTGCCACAAGGATGAAGGATGATGATCCAGACGGAAACAAATGGGCAAAGAGCTTAAAGGGAGAAAAAGGCGTTAAGGCAAGCTACTTTAATACCTCCATATCAGATTTGAGCTAACAATAATATTTTTATTTTTTTCCTTGATATGGTTTCTGCTCCGTGATGTACTTATAAGGTAATGCTATTTCAGGTTTCCTTATTTGAAAAGGGAGTTTCCAAGATGAAACTAAATGATCTTATGAAGGCCACTAATAGTTTCAACAAAAATAATATCATCGGATCAGGAAGAACAGGGACTATGTACAAAGGGGTCCTTGAAGATGGAACCTCACTTATGAAGAGGTTGCAGGATTCTCAACACCCTGACAAGGAATTTTCATCTGAGATGGCTACTCTGGGAAATGTGAAACACCGAAACTTAGTTCCCCTTCTAGGTTTCTGCATGGCAAAAAAAGAGAGGCTTATAGTTTACAGATTCATGGAAAATGGTACTCTCAATGATAATTTGCATCCTGCAGGTGATGCTAACAAGGGTATGGAGTGGTCCTTAAGGCTTAAAATTGGTATAGGGGCTGCCAAAGGATTTGCATGGCTCCATCACAACTGCAATCCTCGTATTCTTCATCGAAATATAAGCTCTAAGTGCATCTTACTAGATGCAGATTTTGAGCCCAAGATATCCGATTTTGGTCTTGCTAGGCTGATGAACCCAATTGATACACATCTAAGCACCTTTGTAAATGGCGAGTTTGGAGATTTAGGTTACGTTGCCCCTGAATATGCCAAAACTCTAGTGGCCACTCCAAAAGGAGATGTCTACAGCTTTGGAGTTGTTCTTCTTGAGTTGGTTACTGGTGAGAAACCTACTCACTTATCTAAAGCACCTGAGAGCTTCAAGGGAAGTCTGGTCGAATGGATTACGCAGCTCTCTAATGAAGGAAAACTTCAAGATGCTATAGACACATCGTTGGTTGGGAAAGGTATTCATAATGAACTTTTCCAATTTCTTAAAGTTGCATGTAATTGTGTATTGCCACCTCCCAAGGAGAGGCCTACCATGTTTGAAGTATACCAGCTTTTAAGAGCTATTGGAGAGCGATGCCATTTTACCACCGAGGATGAAATTTGGATGCCTTCAGATACTGGTGATGTTAATTATTTAGAGGAACTTATCGTTGCTCGAGAAATCAACGAGAGTTAGTGAGGCAATATGGGATACGGTGAGTATTGTATCTTTGCTTAGTTGATGTGTAAGTATTTGTTCTTGTGCATGTTTAAATAAGCTTGAGGTTACATGTATGATGCTTTACTTACTATTTCAACTTTCTACATTCAGTCCTCACTGTAATTGTATCGGTTCCATTTTTAAGCATCTGCATTAGGTCTTTGGTGTCTTTTGTTTCATACTAGAATCCTTCACTAGTGTCCCAAAGAAAAAGCTTTAGATTCGTTAGTATCTTATGTTATCTTTCCTGGCTTTCTCCCGAAACTATCATGTATGTAGAATTTTTTATTTTCACACCGATCGAATGCTACATAAGATGTAAGTAAGATCACTTTATAATTGTGGAATCTGTTTTCCTTATTGCTTGATATGATCATTGCTGATTGATAACATGTAGATCAAGTGATTGTTGTATGCAACATAAACTAGACATGTTATACTTGTGGACTTCAAGTCTTTTCCCTGTCTTTTAAATTGATGAAATCTGTTTCACTGCTGTTTACTGTTTGCACTTTCTGGATTATGAATCTTAATCTGGCATGGAATGATAATAGCAGAACTCTTGATTGCACGGTTGGGAATCATCGTATGCCCGCATAAATCTCAACATGCTACAGCGAGAGTTAAAATCGAATAATTACAAAAAAAGACACCTAGAGCCATGCTGTTTTCTTGTGCTGGATTTTGCAGCCGAACTTCCTACTTTTTTCATTTACTAGAATTTATGCCAAGAAAAAGTGGACCTATTGGGATTTATGCCATTTAGGCATCCAAGTGACTTTGAGGTGGCATATTCCATTGATTGTTACAAGTGATTGATGAAATGGAAGGGGATTTGGAACATTTTTAAAGGGTCACAATCCAAAAAACTCAGTTTTGAAGTGTTGTCAGATGCACAAAGGTTGCAGATGATTTGTGTGGCATATTTTTCTTAGTGGTGCTACTAAATTTCAGCAACTTTCATGGGATTTTTTTAGTAACTTTCTGCTATTTTCCTCCATTTTGTGGAGAGCTATAAAGCATTTGGAGATGTATATTTCTATCATCTTCCGTATTGAGTGCTTGATATCCCTCAAAACTGTTTTCAGTTATAGGGCATACTTGCCCATGTGGGTTTCTTGCCTTTGTGTGTCTAAATATAATTAGAGAAAATAACCTCAGTGATCGAAAATGTCTTATAATATACGATTTTAACTAACTTTTTTTGGATTTGCCAAAATGACCAACAAAATCGCAACGCGAACTCCAATTTCGTAACTTAGTTTCTAAAATCACAGCGTGAATAGTAAAAATCGCAATGTGAATAGTATAATCGCAATGCGAATTTAGAAAATCGTAAAATTGCGTTGCGAATTTCAAATGGTAACTCTCTACTTCTAGACTGGGATTTTAAGTGGAAAATAAAACTTATCTACATGTGTATAGGAATTAGCTTTTTCTTAATATAATTCAAAATTTAATTTTTTAAATGTATTTCATTAGTCTAAGTTAAGGATTCTTTCAAATTTCAAACTTTAATTAATTGAATTTAGAATAATTTGTAATGAAGATTGACAAATGAAATAGATTTGTTGTTCATTTACATATAAATTTTTTCACGTGTACGAATATTTTTTATAAAAATTATTTATGTACTTTTCTAACAAATTATTATAGATGGATGATAAGAGATAATTTACATATAGATTCGTTGTGATTTTACTATTCACGTTGCGATTTTACTATTCACGTTACGGTTTTTACTATTCATGTTGCGAATTTGACTTTTGCGTTGCGAATTTGACTTCTGTGTTGCGATTTACAAATTCGCGTTTCGAAATTGGAAACTGTGTTGTGAAATTGGAGTTCGCGTTGAGAATTTGTTGGTCATTTTGGCAAATCCAAAAAAAGTTGGTTAAAATCGTATATTATAAGGCATTTCCGGTCACTGAGATTATTTTCTCATACAATTAATGCATATATAATTAATGCATTAATAGAGAGGTGATGACAAATTCAGTTGGACAGGTTAGTAGGGTGAACCTACGATTGAGTTGAGTAAAAAAAAATTGAATTGACGAATCATATTTTATAATTCAAATTTTATTTAAAATTTTTTCATATACAATATATATATATATATCATGCAGAATTAAGAGATTAAACTCTAATTTAAAAACTAATCAATAAATTATTAAAATTTTTGAGTTATTCGAGTTTTATTTTATAATTTAAATTTTATTTGAAATTTTTTTAGTCAAGTTGAGTTTAGATTTCAGTGTAAGTGGTCAAATTTTTTTGATTTTTTCATGCCACAGTTAGATTTTTGCTCACCCTTTTCTGTTAGATTCTTATATGTATATATTAAACAAAGACGGTAACTGGTTTATTTCATGGAAGAAAACTTCTGGTGTTTCTTCCATTGGTAGTTCTTACCAGGGATTCAAATAGGGGCAGAATAGCGGTATCAAAGCCAATCGCGGAAATAGCAGATCGTTATTATTTCATTGTTTTAATTTTTATTTTTTTTAAAAGAATGTTTTTTATTAAAAAAATCAGCTCATTCAAAAAAAATTTCATGATCGCGATATCCGTAATGACAACAATAGCATCCGTTATATCCGCAACAGTGATAAATGCGACGCGATAAAAAATGTGGCCGCGAATGCTATTTATTAAATCCCTGGTTCTTACCCTCGAGTCATGTCAGGTGAAAGTACATTTCTCGTCCACTGTCCGGCCGGAGGCCATGGCCAAGAACGGATTTAAGATTCGAAAAGTGATTCCGGCAACAGAGGAAGAAGCACGTTTGATGGTGACATGCAGACGCAAGCAAAACCAGTGAAGCAAAAGCAGATCAACACCGTTATCTCAGCTATTCAGGGTTTAATAGATAACTTTACTTACAAGACATCCAAGTAAATCAACAGACTACCTTATTTTTCCCAAGAAAATTCTTCTAGTATATTATATAATATAAATATATATATATATATATATATATATATATATATATATATAGAACAAAACTGTTCCAAAATTATTGTACATTTATACAGATATAAAAATAAGAATATAAATAAATAAAATAAATAAATTACAGTGACCTTATATTGCGGACCAGGCCACCCAGTTTTGGCAGCTTATATTTTACAGCTTCAGCAAACAACTAAGGTGACGCAGTCTCGTCATCAGAACCAGAACCATACTGTGGTCTCCTCTGAAATCCAGGAAAAGCTTGGAACATTATTGGATTCACTGGAACTGGGAACACTGGTTGCATCATTGGATTCACTGGAACTGGGAACACTGGTTGCATCATTGGATTCACTGGAACTGGAAATATAACTAACAATGGTTCGTTCATTTATCATCCCGACTTCCATGCAGACTCGTTCAAGAACTGTAAGGAAATACCTCACCACCATAAAGATCCTAAATGGGTGAGCTTCTTCCTTTGTTGAGTTCCCATGGAAGTATTCCGTGATCTCCTTTACCAGCGACAGTGCCACGCTTTCATGGGCTCGAATCCTTATAATCTCTTACTCTGCCATTTTCATAAACATGTTCATCGATTCTGAAAATTTCTCTTTGCTCTTGCCTGATCATTGTTTCATTTAATCTCAGAACGTCATTGATGTTTTCGATGCCTCTAGAAAGCTTCAAGACATCGCTGTTAAGTACCTCGGAATCCATTGCAGCAGCTTTCTTCACATTGGTGAGCTCTGAACTGAGACCAGACACAACTTGTAAACCAAGCTTTCTACACCGTGCATCTTCGTTTGAAGTGGAGCTATCTGTTTGGTCATTAGTATTTGAAAGACGAGAACCCTCAGTTCTTATGATTTCTTGTACAACAAAATGCAAGAGTGTGGTCTTCCCATCCGCACCCTTGACATCAACAAGCTTTAGGAGTGTATCGAGTTTAAAGGCATGGGCATCACCACAGTTTGTTTCAACGTTCATGCGATTCCCAGTCTTGAGTACAGCCTCTAGAAGCTTTAAGAACATCCTACTGGTTCTCAATTCCTCGCAAGCAGTCTGTGAAAAGGAAAATTCAATGAGATACAGCTAAAGATAATCGACGATAAAGCAACAAGTTTCATTAGTCTGTCATTAAGTCTCTGACATGGAAGGAGAAAAAAAAGGAGCCTACGACTCATATAGGCAGCAAATGAGAAATGCAAACAGTTTATTCAGATTGCCAATATTCTATGGAAAGCAGCAGCATTACTAGCATGCTCAGGTGAGTGAACACACACGCTAAATCTTTTTAGACTTTTGAAATGGGTACTATACTCAAGTAACTCAACATATTAGTCCTTCATATTTTTACTTCGAAGAGAAACCTGTGACAAAAGATTGTGAATAGTCAGATGGATTGCTGTAAAGGATATGGTAGTTGAATGAGTATTCACATTTTAATACAGGCAGAAACAAGCAACCAACAAAAGCAGAAAGAAAATAAGCAGGAGGAAGAAAGCAAGGACATATTGAAAACAGACAGAGATGGAGTCACAGGTTAATTACCTCCAGAGTTTTGAAAGACTTTCTCTCAAAGTTAGCTACGTAGAGCATTGCATCCACCCTTTTGAACGCGAACGGTATATCAAGAACTGTTTTCAAAAATTTCTCTGCAAGACCAAGCTTGACTGGTGAATCATCTTTGAAGTCCTTCAACTTACGTTCTTCTTCCTTTGTTGGAGCCATTTTCAATAAACTTTCAAGAAGTTCAGTGCCGAGTGTATCTGCATTGCCTGTATCATCATGGATTTGCAATTTAACGGATTCATTCAACTCATTAGATTTCCTTACCCCATTGCATATGAGAATAGGGTTTTGTTGTTGTTGTTGTATTCAAGTCATTAGATTTAATTTATTTAATGTTAATCTTTCTGCTGATTGCTCCTTTATTTCTTTAATATATAAAAAGGGAAATTGTAAGCACTAAATCTATATGCAATCATGTGAGGTGTTGCATCTAACAAAAAATCATTATTATTTGCATAGTTCCCCCACTTTGGTATTATTTTCAATCTTTTGCCCACTGTGTGTATATTTATTCTTCTACTTGTTCTTAATAGTATTTGCACATGTAATTTTTCTATTTCTAATATTATTTTCACATCAAAATAAAAATAATATTATAATTGATGTTTTTACATGAAAAAGTAATTTATTTTCTCTTAATTTATTCAAAACTCAAAATTCATCAGAATATTAGAGTATGATTAAACCAATATATAGAGTAATTGGTGGAATTAGATCAGATTGATGAGTTGAATTAATTAAATTATGAATAAATAGTCTAAATGGTTTGGTATAGTAAAATGAAATATTATACAAATGATTGGGAATTGTTAAAATTTTATATTATAAAATTAGTTGTGAATATTTTTTTAAATAATCAGTAATTTTTTATTTTATTATTTTTAAACCAATAAATTAACTAACTGAAATGATCAAATAAAAACAATTGAATTAATTTAAGGATAAATTATACAGGTTTTCACTTTTATCTTTGGTCTTATTTCGGTCACTGGTTTTGGGAAAATAATATATTCTGATTACTTTTGTCTTTTATTTGTCTTATCTCGATCATCAATTTTAAAATTTTATATTCTAGTCCCTTTTATTTTCGTCATATCTTATTTTGACCAATGAATTATTGGGTTTTGTTAGATTGATAACATAATGTGTTAATAACATGGTTACCTTTTAATTTGACCTCTAAATTTTAGGGGGGAAACTAATTTAACCTTATAAATAAATTATGATATTTGCATTTAAATAATTTTTATACTCTTTATCATATTAAAAAAATGAACCTATATTTATTTAATCTAGTGTGAAACATGTTATACACGAATATGGAATAGGGGTTAACGTTTGTAGGGACGTGATTAAGGATAAAACAATTTATTGAATCTTGTCGGTTAAAAGGTTATTTTGGGTGTAAAACATTAAAATAAAGAATGGCGTTCATATATTTATATATATATATATTAATTTTAATAATGAATTTTTTCTTTTTCTTTTCTTAAAAAAATATCGGTGGTGCCTATATAAATATTGATATAAGAGGAGTTCTGTTGTACGACTGGTTAGGATACGCAGGGGCGGAGCTTAGTGAGGTCTTCAAGGGTCAATTTGATCATAATTTAAAAATAATCTAATAAATTTAACCCTTAATATTTACAAATATGAATTAAGAAAAACATGAATGGATCTGGGGATCAAACTTGGGACCTAAGAGATAAACAAATGAATCATACTTTTACTGCCTTAGCATTCAAGATGCCTACGAGTACATTTTAAGGCTATTATTATGTCACAATTTTTTTAACACTCTTGTAGTACTTAACAGATTAATACTATGGTCACATGCTTCAGATGAGCCCCACCTAGCCATCATCAAGCAGGATTGTACCTGGTGCAAGTAGCTGTACTAGTCTCATCTGTGCTCTGGCCAAGCCTTGCTAAATTTCAGGTCAATCTTTAATTGTTGACAATCAAACTAATTTTTTCCCCATACATTGTCCCAGGCACCACTTGGAGCAGCCTTTGGCCCCTCAATAAAGTTTTGATTCCCACGAGGATTATGGGGTCCTGGGAGTCCGGGAGGACCTGGTTGATTAGGCTTTTGGGGTTTTGTTTTGATTCCCAGCAGTCTTAACACGAATCTAGCCAACTCTCCGTACAATAGTCCCCCGCGATCAAAAAGCTGCAAAATGATGCCATAAGTCATGTAAAAAATCTCACTCACTAAAACACAATATTCGTTGATTCAACTATTATTACTTAAGAAAATCAACTCCAATTTGATGATTCCATATCAAGTTGGAAAGATGGGGAGGTAAGAATAGCAAATGCAGCACCTGAAGAAGAGCAGTCATAAACATGTGGAATGCTTGTGTATTCTGGTCTATCAGAATAGATATCCGGCCAAAGCAGTTAACAACACCTTGCATCTGCATTCAGTGAAGGAAGCAATTATGACTATGTTGTAGTGAAAATGCAACACAAAGGTATAGATTCATAAATATATGTCATGCAATAGCATCCGCAAATGTTTATGACAAATTCTCCATTTTTTAGTACACACTTCCTTCTAACCTTATTCCCAAGCACAAAAAAAAAATTGATCGGCTCAAAGTAGCCTAGAATCTAAATTGATTGTCAAAAAAGTCTCGAGTTAAATAACAGCCATCAAGTGTTTCTGACATTTTAGTGTTAAAGAAATGTCACAATGGTCAATGGACATGCACTCCATGCAAGATCCTGAGCAACCTCGAACCAACAAAGCTACAATTGATACCTTCCTCTCCATAGGTCAATTTTAGTTCTTTAGAAAATGGACAGCGAAATGATAAAGCATGTGAATATTTCCTGGAGTGCATATCTTGAGCTCAAGAACAGAGCCAATGACAAAAAGGAGTCAATGGCCAAGGTGGCGGGCTGTCATTACAACGAGGATCAGACGCTCTACGTAACAGATGATATTATTTACATTTAATCAGATAAAACAAAATAAACTATAAGATTTGAAATAAATTACCACGCGGAGGAATGACATCCAAAAGCCTGGTGGGGATGGAGGAGCACCAAAAGGATTATTTGGATCTTGCTCACCATATGGACCCATGCCCATCCCATAACCACCCATTGGACCCCCAAAGCCACCGAGTCCACTGCCATACATTCACCACCATACATTCCAGAGTTTCCATATAGACCACCATAACCTCCTCTATACATGTTGTTTCCATACAATCCACCACCATAAGAACCTACTCCACCATATGATGAACCATACATTCCAGAACCATACCCTGAGTTGTAGTTTAAGCCAGAACCATACCCTGAATCAAAAACCAACTTAGACAAGCTCCACAATAAGCAACTATCGGGTATTGTAATAGATGAATTAACACTTTACCTCCATAAGTGGTTTTTATAGTTCTGTTGCTCCCAAGGCCTGCTGGGTAAAGGCCTATTAACAGCATTTCTATTCACAGCAGCAGTCACATCAGCAGTAGAAACAATTTCACCTGGTCTTGCTGTTCCAGATGCCTCAACCACATCACTGGTGCTGCCAGGTGAGGGTGGCTTAAACGGTCCGGAACCAGACGAGCCTCCAGCTTGCTCCCATGGTTTAGGCGGAGAGCCACCGGTAGCTGCAGTTGATAATGTAAAATTACAATCAAATTGGGGGGGTTGCAAATATTCAAATTTGTTAACACCCGAACCAAGTTAAATTATCCGTTAATGTCTTGACCTTATTCTATCATTAAAAAAGGAATCCACGCAAGAAAAACCCATAATTAGAAATATAAATTGGGCGGATTCTTCAATTCCCTTCACAAAGCAACTAATCAAGCAGGACCAACTAAACAAATCAAGCAATAATAATCGAAAACCATACAATTATATATTTCTATATTGAATCGATCGATGGCTCAAAACAGGATGATCTAAACTAACAAAAATCAACAGAATAAAGAAATCGGACCTTGTTGTTGGGAATTAGAATCCATGGATTCTGGGTGAGATCAACCGATGAAGCAATTTGTGGAGAGCGTTATACCGCCTCGGCAAAGAAAAACAAATAATGCCGACGACTTGCGCGTATTTGCTCCCTTTACACCTCTTTATGTTTTTTTTTTGGCTCGTCTTCGTTTGGTTATTTTTTATTTTGGATAAATTACACCTCATTGTCACTTAATTATAAAGTTGACATTAAACAGATCATATGCTTTTAAAAAGATATAAATAAATCATTCAATTAAAATATCATTACAAACATTTTGCCATTCGTTAAAATTAAAATGGAACAGTAACTTGTCCTTGTATAATAATATTTATAGTATTTAAAACTTATATAATTTATCAATTTGTTATAATTAAAAATAATTTAATAAATTTAATCATTTATATTTAAATATTACATCATTTTAATCTTTGTTTTTCTCTTAAATTATTTTTTCTTCTCTAAAAAGTATTGTATTACTTTTTTGTATAATAACAGTTTAACAATAACTTGTTATTACTTCATAAATGCAATTATCCAACAATTTATTTTATTTGATCGGTTCGTTTGCTTTGACAGTATCACCAACTAAATTGATGTGATTTCTAAATATAACTGTTAAATTTATTAAATTATTTTGAATTGAGACATAATTAAATAGAATGTATAAATTTCGGGACTAAAAATATTATTATATAAGGTCACGTTAAACTATTCCATCTCATTTTTAACAACATAGCGTTTTGTTTATAATAATATTTTAATTGAAGAACTTATTTGTAACTTTTAGAAAAAAGTTGACTTATATTTTACTAAACGTATAAATACGTAATCTTCGGTGTAATTTACCCTTTTATTTTTATATTTTGTAAAAAATGAGAAAATTAAAGTTTTTGAGTTAATTTAAACCCATCTGAATATTAATATAAAATCTAATAGATAATAACTTAAGTTGTCAATTCTACTGAATTAAAAATATATCAAATATTAAAAATTATGGACCCCCGGTCCTATTTGACAGCTCTACACCTCGTTTTAAATGCCTGGATTTGGTGCATTACTTAAAACAATCATTTCCCAACATGCCAAATTATTTTTTAATTTCTCTCTTAAATTATTATTTTTATATCAATTTATTCCAAGAAAATAGAATATTGTTAGGGATGATTATGAATGGATTGAGATGGATTTTTATCTATTTGAATTCAATTCAAAAATTAAATTCTTTTACTCGTATTTGATTCGATTCGAGTTTAGAAGGATCTCCTCGATTCAAAATTTGGTTTTTTTTATGTTAAAATTCACACTTGGCCCAACCTATATATATTATGTAAATTAAGGATCTAATTGTAAATAAATAAAATAAGAAGGGCAAATAGGAAATTATCTCTTAAAATATAATAGATAATTATAATATTATATTTGGTCGGATTATTTTCCTCCCAAGTCCAAATTAGACTAGACCTAAATTGAACTTGAATTTTCAAAATAAAAAATCAATCTAATTAAGTTTAATATAATCAAAATTCATCAAATTTGAGTGAAATGTTCATTCCTAAATATGACAATTTGTTATTAAACAGATGTAATTTTAAAGAAAAATAAACGAAAATAATAATTTAAGGATAAATGAAATAAAACAATTTCAACACTAAAACAAATATATGTATGTATACTTCAAGGAAGAAAAATATGAATAAAGTGGTGACATAATTTTTAATTAAAAAATAAAGATCAAATAAGTCCTTTTGATTTAGTTGACATTAACACAAAAATAGTTGACAAGCTAATTTTTTTCTTAAAAAAATAATTTAGAAATAAAAAAATAAAATTATAAAAGCCGGAAAATAATAAAATTGTAACACCCCAACCCGTATCCGACCCGAATACGAGTCTGAGATGTCACATTGACTTTTTAAAACAAAATTCTTAACAAAATACAGAACCTTTGGACTTATATTAAGAAAATACAATAAATACTATTAAATTATGCTTCATTATAAAACTTTGAAACAAATACGTACTTATGAACAATATTATACGGTATGAACAGTATCGTGAGCAGTAATGAACAGTGCTACAATGCACCGATACATTGCTACAGTGCACCGATGCACAAAAATTTCGAATGCAAATTGTGCATCGATGCACTGCTACTGTGATTTTCATAAAATGTACATAAAACTCGTAAAAATTAAACCGTTAATTACTATCCATTTACATTTACATAAATACGTTTAAAACATTACAAAATTCGATCAGAGCATAAATACTTAATTTATCGACTTTGTTTACATGCCAACCTATTTTCACATAATAAGACATATTATTTAATCTACTTCTGATCTGACCTTCAAGTGGAGTTATGTTGTTTTGTTGAGCTTATAATGGATCTCTCTGCTTTTTTGTGCTTACGTGTAAAACACTTGCACGCTAAGTCATAGACTTAGTGAGGCATAACATATAATAACAATAATGCATTTCATATACATACAAACATATCATCTCTACTTATTCAATCATGTCGTATATGATTCCATGTAAATAATAATAAATTGATAATATGTAATAATGCAAACACTTTTGATACCTTTTGTAAGCCTGTGTACATTACTGAGAACTTAAGATATTTGAGTACATTGAGGTTGTGCACCACTATGCTGTCACCACAGCTCGTATAAATGTCCCGAAGGACCTATCTAGAGGTCATTAAGAACCTCGGCAACTGTCCATAGGTCCAGAAGAACCTAGGTAAACTGTCAATATGTTCCTTAGAACATAGGTAATCCTGTCCATATATCCTGAAAGACATAGGTAAACCCTCGACTCTTGGCATGCCAACTATACCTATCGCTCTCGTATCATATACCATGGGCATTTATTTTTATGTTTCATATGCTCATGTATTCATGTCATTTCTCTTATGAT